TAAAGAACAAATGGATCCTCCACTGCAAGTTTCTGAGCTACTGATTTTTTCATTCATTACCGTGATTTTTTCTTGTTGCTGTTTTGCCACAGATCTTTTGTTCCCATGATACAATATGCAGTTAAAATTATCTCATTTCGGATTTGTTTTTCAATAAACAGAATGTGTTACACAAATGTGCCATATTCTTGGTTGTATTATAAAACAAATACAATGTTCTAAATGACACAAATAATTAGATTTTTAATATCCATTATTGTGTTGGGGTTTTTTTTAAATTCCTGATTGCCTATATTATAGCTATAAGGATAATAACATGATCTCCTATTCTATATTGCATTAGATTTCCATAGCAAGATTAGGAAGCAATCCTAAAAATATCCAATCCTAAGTATAACCAGATACATTTCTGGTTTTTTTTTTTTATAGCACATAAATAGAACAGCTATAATTTTTTACTAGAAACAGATCTAATTTGAGTAAAAACACTTCAGGTAGGCTGGGACAAATTAAAGTATAAAAGTGGGAATGTGTGAAAGAAACATTTGCTTTCATTTCAAGATTTATGGTATTTAGCTACAGCAGCATTAAAGTCTTGCTGGTTTTTCATATGGAAGAAAATACAAATATTCAAATTTCCTTAACACAACAGGCCAGTGGTCAACTGCAGCTTGATAAAAGATTGCTTTGGCAGATGCTGCTGTCCTCTACATGCAGGGAAAATATCAACATGATTTTCTTTTCTGGACGGCACAGTCTTACAGTGAGCTGCATGATACATAACCAAAGAAAAGGAGAGTGGAACAGACCCCACAAGGTCATCTAATCCAACAGTTTGCCTAAGGAAAGAATCCAGGGAACACTTATATCTGCTGAACTGTCTTGCCAAAAATTGGATACAATGCCCCCAGTAATGGCCTTTTCTTATACCTTTAGACATCTCCTTTGACATAAAGCATTATGGGATGCAAGTGCACCAGGAGAGAGCTCACTGTAGGACTTGAGCTTTTTCCCTGAAGCCTTAAGACAACATTATATAAAGTTTATCCTTCTTGTTCAGGTTATAGAGGTTGAATTTAAGCATCCTGCATCTTATTTGTTAATACTCACCACGCCTATAGGACGTGAATAACTATGTGATGTTTTTCAAATCTAAGTCTCTATAGAAGTGCCTGGTAGCCCTTTCTTATATTAAACAAATGATAAAAGCCTAATTTTACCCCCCTCCCCATATTGCTTCTCACTATATATGGGAAATATTTTCTGTAGTAGTATTATGATTAAAGTCTGCTAAATCCTTTACACCTAAAACACTGATCCAGTCTGAGGCTAAGTTTGGCAAGGGGGTCCACTCTGAACTTTGTGAATCAACAGGAGTGTCTCTGTTATCCCTTTGCATCCCTTACTTTTTTCCCTACTTATCCTTTTGTGTTCCTGGTCTCAGCAAAAATCATTGTAGGTTACTTTTTAACCATTTTTCCTTCGTGTGCTTTATCTATATAGCGAGTAGTAGAGTGAACCTTGCCATCAAACTTTGTTGTGCTGTAGCAAATTTATATTAAACCTGCTTTTGCTGGTGATTCCTCAAGCAGCCTAAACCACTCATTCGTGGCAGCAGCATGAATGCTTTTCCTTGTTTACATTGAGCTCTTAACTTCCATTTTCTTTTGAGGTTTTGTTTGATTTGTTTGGGGTTTTTTATTAAAGAAAAGAAACCCACACATCATTTTGTAATGATAATTTTTATCCAGATCTGCTGACACAATGGGAGTCTTTACTAGAATAATTTCCAACCGGATTTAAAAAAGAGCCATCAACATCCACCTTTAAAAACCACAAAACCCTGAAGCCTCACACACAGCTAGTGCTATTTGTAACATGTTTCTTTATCCAAGTTGAGAAAAAAGCAGCCCTGGAATTCTGAATCCATTTCTGATCCTCCAGAGTTTTAGAACCAACCCACCAAAAAGGGGATTGGCTCCAATATTAGAAATTTTGAAACAAATAGAAATTAACATGCATTAAAAGTATGAAAAACCATATTATCTCATATTAACAAATCCTTTGTGGGTGTTAAACATTTTTAAGGCCCCCAAAATGGAAGCTCACTATATGGCCCTAGATGTTTCCTGTGCCACATGTCATTTAACACTTCCTGGGCTGAGAAAATTCTTAGGAATTTTGTTTTCATTTTTTAAATTTTGTTATGAAGAAATTAGTTATACTATAAAACATTATACAGATACAACAGTAGAGTAAGTTGAGACAAGATAAGGTCCCTTTAAAAACCTAATCTTTTGTCTTTGTTTACAAATACCTGCAAATCCTGAACTGAGAACAATGCTACAATACCAGCTGTAGTGGCTGATTCAATTGGGTCTTGAAATCCATTCTCTGACAAATGTTCAGGGAGAAAGTTTTCCCTCTTATATGGATCTTGAGAGATATTGAAAAATAACTGCTTTGCAAAACACTCTGGGAAATGTAGTTCTACTGCAAATTGTTATTTTGCTGACTAAACTTTATTAACACACTGAGTAAAAGGGGATGAAGAGCTGGTAGTGTTTGATAAAACCGCATCTTATAGTTAAAGAGACCATGGCACTAGCAAGAGAGTGTTAGAGTGGAACAAGGGTCCATAACCTTGTTTGGGCTACATTTGGTCTGAGTTATCTGGTGGGTTTAGAGGCTGTGTTTTGATTTCTTTCTGCAAAGAAGACATGTTTTTTGTGAACATAATGTAGGACAGTTTGGTTTGGGTTTCATTATTTCCTATTATTTTATTATTTCCTATTATGGGTCTGAAAGCAACATGCAATAAATCATCGGTTGAACTCTGTTAAGACAGTGGGTTTTGGTTTTTTGCCTTTTTTTGTTTGTTTGTGTTTTCTTGTTTATTTCTTTTTCCTTTTTTTTTTAGTAGTAGTACTTTTATTACATTATTTCAATATTCAGTGGGATGACACAGCTTTTGTTTTCTGTTGTCTGCAGGATGTAGTTTTAAATGGGGTCACCAGAACTGTGTGACACTTTTTTTAGAAATTCTCAGTTAGAGTTGCTGAAAATAATAACTGAGGTTCTGGCTTCTTTATTTAAATTTTTAAATTATTGTCTGTCAGTAATGGTGGGCAGTGATTCAGGACTGAGCTCTCGTTCATTATAAAGGTGATACAGTATTCACCTGGGAGGGAGGCAGGTACCAAACATGTCTAATGTGACGTGACAAACCTGGAACAGCACACCTGGCCTCCAGCTACTGCTGCAGATGGATGTGGGCCACCTACAGATCTTGTGCTGTAACATCTCTTCCTGTACAATATATTTCATATATATATATTCCCTAAGATATATGTATATACACCTTAGAACTTAGTAGCACTAGATACTTGTGCTTAGGCAACTGAATTATACCCTTCCCCATCCATGGAGGATTTCTTTCTAGCTTGTGGAAAGTTCCTGAAAGATACCATCTACTTTTACAGACAAAAATGCTTGGAATGACTGGTATTTCTCATCCTGGTTAAGGATTCAAATATATTGACTTCAGACCAAATTTATTCTTCTGTAAATAATTGAGGTGTATCCAATGGCAACATGCTGTTTCCTTGATGTTAACCCCAAAGAAATCTATCATAAGCTGATTTGTTTTCACAGACTAAATTTACTTTGTAAGGATAGTGATTATAAACACATTGTAAAAATGTAAATATGTGCTCCTCTGTGGCTTAACTATATTTTTTTTTCAGTAGGAATTGAAGCTCCTCACCAAGCTTTTCATGTCTTGACAATATTTAATAACTTTATAGTGCTTAAGTAACCTCTTTAATACAAACTAGGATGAGAGCAGATGAAAATGAGTACCAACATAACTGGTAATAGCTATGACTTCATTGAGCCAAAGGTTGTGCAGGTGTTTAACTTCAAACATATGTGGAGACCTCTTATGATGGACTTAAATGAGCACATTATAATGGGAACAGAGGGCCACAGAACCCTTAGCTGAAATGAACCTTCTGTATCTTCCTGCTTTTTCAGGATTGTGTAAGTCTGTGGAGTACTATCATCTGCTTCAGTGAGCAAAGGTATCCTCCAAGAAGAGCTCCAAGAAGAGCTTATCTGCTCAGCTATTTTCTGTGGCAGTACTTCAGTTAAGTAGGACTCCTTCAGTACAAACAACTTGGAGTAAAATTGTCTCACACCAGCACTGAAGACAGATGGATAAAGGACTGCAGTGAATTTTTAACAATGATTGTTTTTTAAGTGTTTGGTCCCAAGAAACAGAAGCCAAAGCCTACCATATGCTTTCTCTGCAATGCTGTGGAGAGAACAAGTTCCCCTGGGTAGACAATCCAAAGACCCTCAGATTCACTAGGGCACTGCTAGTGCCTCAGCAGTTTCCAGTGGAAAACTCTGAGCATGGGAGAAGTCCATTTTTTGTGCACTCTCTGCAATTTAGTCTCCACAGTCAGTTCTGCAAAGAAGATGCTACATGGACTCCTCAGAGTTGAGAGTCAAAACCACTTATGAGGGAAGATGGCTAACCTGAAAAATGGAAAAAAATCTTGTGCTAAAAGCATTGTGATGCCCTCTTTGTGCAAAATAACCTGCTGAGTTTAAGTCTTAATCAGAAATGCTTTGCCATTGGTGCCCAATGGCTTGACTTAGGAGCGTAGAGTCCTGAAGTCTTGACTTGCCCTCAAGATTATTTCTTGTTTAAATCCATTCTCCGTTGAATGCAAAACATGTAGATACATTCAAAGCGTTTGCCTGTGTTAAAAAGGAGGAAAGATTCATATGGTAAGAAGAGAATGGACGTGAAAGAGCAGATTGCTGACTACAGAGGAAAATCTTCTCAAAGCATACAAGTTAGTTCTCAACATTTTCTGGGTAAATATTGCAGCTACTGAGATAATATAATGCCAGATACTGCTGCAGCTTGGTTTTTTTAAAGAAAAAAGCTACAAGTGTATTTTAGCATCGTATCTCCTTTTGAATATATGTCCCAACTGCTCTCAGAAAACATCTTCCAGACTGGGTGTCTGAGTGTCAGCCATTGCTCTACATATTTTCTGGATCCTGACACAGCTCATTTTTTGGGCTATCAGGGGAAAAAGGCAGAATTGTGTCTGTTTGAAAAAAAAAAAAATTGCCATATCCGTGTATAGAATGGAGTTACCACAAAAAACACCCTCAGGTTGTTTTTTTGTATGTACTTTTCATTTTAATTGTGCATGACTATTCCTAAATCCTACAGCTAATTTAGTTATAAAATTAACTTGAACAGCCAGAGAATCCATTTTCAAAGTATATAAGGGATGTAAAAAAAATCTCACAATCAATCCTGCAGGAATGTAAACTTTCCTATTCCATTTGCTCTGCAGATGGAAAGATGCAGAGAGGCAGCAACTTACAACATATCTCAGCATCTCCAACTTAATAATGTTTGGGTTTCGGGTTTTTTTGAGGGGGAGATAAGATGTTGGTGTTGAGATAAGCGTGTGTATTGATAAAACCCACATAAATAAACAGGAAAAGCATTTACAGAGAAGTCCTCAGAGCCCTGTTTGTTACAACAGAAATTCCACAGCATCCAAACTGACAAGAAACAATCTGTGTGCATAATTCATTTTATTTGAGGAAAGACGTGAGGAAAAAGCAATGTATTGAAGAGTACTTTTGGTTTTGTTAAACTAAGGGAACCCCTTGGGATGCCTTCTCTCATTTATCAGTTCCCTTTGAGAAGTAAGCTCAACGTCTATGTGCATTTCTAGTGTCTCCAGAACAACAGAATATCATCACCTTAGGGCTTAGAAACAGCTATATTGTGTCTTCCTTCCTCAGTTAAAAATACTCATCTGCATGATTTATAGTACATAACTAGGTGCATGGTCTATTTATATATTGTAGCTTTTTGGTTTTGTTTTGCCCTTTTCCATAAAAAAGTGTATAAATCCAGTAACTCTCCAAAGAGTAAATTTTAAAACAAATGCCTTCCAAACCTATCTTTTAGCTCTACAGCTCCTACATTATCAAAGTGGAAAAAATGGACAGCAATTTCCAGATAATAAAGGTAAGTAAGTGCATATTTTCCTCACTTATTTTTATATTAAAAAAAAAATCTATTTCTCTACCGTGGTAAAAGCAAACAAAGCTTGAGTTAGTTTTAAGGTAATTTTCAGGACTTATGCATCTGATTTAGTTTTCATTGTTGTGAATCAAATCCAAAATTTCAAAATTTCACTCTCTGACAGTTAAATAGATCAGGGCAAATACTGTCATTCCTTTTTCTAAAAAAAAAATAAAATAAAAGCCTATAAAAAATGAGGAGTATAATTAATTATAGATGAAAGATTCTGCCAGGTCATGACATTGTACAGAATGTTACCAAGTTTTTAATTAGGATGACTGTTCTGTTCAGCTGCAAGAGGATTGCAGTTTGCAACCCATCAAGAGTCATTTATAGGTTTCCACTCCTACCATCTTGTAGAAACAATACTACCCTTTAGGGAAAAAGAAAAAGAACACAGAACAAAGAAACTTCAGTCCTGTACAAAATAATCTTCCAAATGATTAAGGTAGTGAGTTTCATTTGGTCGAATTTCAGATTTTCTGGAACTGTCTGCCCTGAATGTCTTAATTTGTAGTAACAACATTGGAAATATAATCTACTAAATGCTCTCTAATGAGGTACTGGGTGCAAGTGGTTCAAGAAACCTGTTCTGGTTGCCTGTAACCCCAGAAGGCTGAGGCTAAATGAACAACTAAGTTGCTTAATAAAACCAGTGAAACTATTTCCTACCTACAGGTGACTTCTGACATCAAGGCTGGAAATGGCAACTTTTAAAATGAACTTTGTCTATAGTATTGTTAACTCTCATTAACACAGTGATGAAAAAACACACACAGGTTCCTAAGCGGACTCTTGGGGACTCTCAGCACAGTCAGCAGTGTGGGGCCAGAGCTGCTTTGTAATCACCATCTGTGAGTCACAGGAATAGAACTAAACTGAATAGAATATTTCAGCTGTGAGGGACCTACAACAACCATCCAATCCAACTGCCTGACCAATTCAGGGCTGCCCAGGAGTTAAAGTGTGTTGTTAAATGCATTTTCCAAATGCCTCTTAAACACTGACAGGCTCGGGGCATCAACGAGGAAGCCTGTTTCAGTGTTTGACCATCCTTTTGGTAAAGAAATTGTGGGGTGAAGTCACAGACCCACAACTGAAGTTTGAGGGGTTTGGAATGTTACAAAGTGTTGGGCTGTTTTCCATGGGAGCAGTGGAGCTAATTAGATAGTTCCCATGGACACAGCCTTGATCTGTCTAGATCCCTCTAAAAAGGCCTCCTGTCTCTCAAAAAACCCACACTTCCCATTTTGGTACCATAAACAAACTGGCTAATGGTGCACCCAACTCCTGCATCCAGATTGTTGATAAATATATTGAGCAGGACTGGCCCTAGGATTGAACCCAGAGGAACACAGCTGGTGACCGATCACCAGCCAGATTCAGTACAACCCTTTGAGCTCTGCCCTTCAGCCAGTTCTTCACCCAGTGCACCCTGTACCCACACATCCCACAGTTGGACCACTTGTCCAGAAGGTGCTGTGAGGAACAGTATCCAAAGCCTTACTAACACCCAGAAAAACTGCATCCACCACCTTCACCTCACCCACTTGAAGGGTGACTTTAAAATAGAAGAGTATCAAATTAGTTAAACACAACTTTCCTTCTGTGAACCCACGTTGACAGTGCCCGAGGACTGAGTTATCTGTTAAATGCCTTTCAGCAGAACCCAGTATAATCTTCTCCACATTTTTTCTAGGAACTAAAGTTAGACAAACAGGTCTGTAGTTTCCTGGATCTTCCCTCACACTGTTTTTGTAGATTGGAATAACAATCAGCACTAGAGGACTCCTAAGCCTCAAAAGCAGATTCCCAGTGTAGTTTGCTAAATAGCTCCCTAAATAGCTTAAAGTTTGCTCTCCTGTAGTCCAGGGTAGCAACTCTGCTTGCTGTCTTTTTTCCTCATTGCACTGAAAATTTTAAACACAACCATGTTATGATCTCTGTGGCCAAGACAGCTACCTCCCATCACATCCCCCATGAATCCTCCTCTATTTACAAACAGCAAGTCTAGGAGGCATCTTTCCCAATTGCCTCACTGAGTACCTGTGACAAGAAGTTATCTCCTACAAACTTCAAGAATTTTCAAGACCTGTTTTTCACAGCACTGTGATATTCCTGGTTATGTCTGGGAAGCTGAAATCTCCCATAAAGACAAGTGGGTCTGAATAACTTGACTTTATAATTTCACAAGTGCTTTTTATAATAGAATCAGAGAATTATGAAGGTTGGAAAAGACCTCTGAGATCATTGAGTCCAACCATTAACCCAGCACTGCCAGGTCCACTACTAAACCATGTCCCCAGGTGCCATGTCTACATGTTTTTTTGAACACCTCCTGGGATGATTATTCCACCATTTCCTTGGGAAGCCTGTTCCCATGCCTGACCACTCTTTCAGTGAATAAATTTTTGCACGTTTCATTTTTTCCTCTCTCTCTAGGAAGAGAGGAGAACTAAATGTTTGCTGTTTGTTTCCTTCGTCCAGCAATAAGAAGTAAATAAATACTTCCTGAAGCTTCTGGATGTCTTTTGCCTAAGGCATGTAATCTCTGCTTGTCCAGCTTGCTGCATTTTTGTAGAGGATAGCTCTAAGGACCTCTCTAAAGTGTTTTATATGAGCCTCATTACAACAGTATCGAAGTCCATGGCAGTCATAAATTGAATTATCTGTACAATACTGTGATAATTAGAGAATTAATCTTTTGGAGATGAAGATCCAAAGCACAGAAAATTGTCCAGAGATAAGCTATGACAGAGCAGCAATTAGATTTCAGCCAGCACCTGTCAGAGACTGAAATGGTTAATGATTTATGCATTCTAGGAGACTTTTGCAGGCTTTTGACTTGCATGATACCTCTGATGAGCAGTCGGGCCCCTCCCTCCCTCCAGTGCTGAAGGTGTGAAGCCCTGAGAAGGCAAGAGCTGAGCTTGCAGGCTTTGGACTGTTGATACATCTGATGAGCAATCAGGCCCCTCCCTCCCGCTGCTGATCTGAAAAGGCGGGAACCAGGCGAGACACAAAAAACTCAGCACAGACCCAGGAGATGTTGGAGGCTGGAGGCATGGCCCGTGACACTGACCATGGATATAACTCATAACTTCTTGGAGTATGGGGGCTTCCCTCCTTCAGCCCCAGCAGATCAAGGCCACCACTTCAACTGACAGCCATGGAAGCATCGCTGGACCCCGTGGGCAGTGACTATATACATCTGTCCACTCTCAGCTTTTCTTTCCCTTGCTCTCCCTTGCTCTTATCCTGCCTTTCTCTCCCCTATGCATTTTCTTTCCCCCCGCAAAGGTTATCTCTGTGTCACACTGTTGTATGACAGCACCCAAACTGCTAGCATGCCTGTTGATACAGAATTGTTAAAATAAACCTTGCCAGTATATGTTTTTAGCCACCGATTATTTAGTGTCATTTCACTTTAATCCACCCCAAGGGAATTATTGATAAAAACCTGAGTTACCCCCCTCTCCCCTTTTCCTGGGGTGGGTCGTAACAGCACCCCCACAACAAACCACCTTCTTCTGGTGTCCTTCATGATCTGACCTGGGCTAACTCTGCAGTGTTGGTGCACAGCAGAGGGCAAGCGAGGTATGAAACCAAAACTATTTTGTGTCATTGACCCTGGTTTCTGCTCATAACCATCGTCTCAGATGACACACTCTCACAGGAGCACAGCTATCAAGCCTAGAGCTGATTTGCTTTTCCGTAGCTTTGAGTAGAAGCAAACTTAAGCCAGATGTTTCCACCTCCCTGAGCATGTGCTCTTGGCACAGGCGGATATGCCAGTCGACATCTGATATTCCCATGGATTAACCTGCTAGACTCACTTTAACATTAAACCGCTACACTAAGGAGGAGTTTCAAACGAGATCTCTACTGTGTTCGTGTCAATGTATTGTGTGAGGTGAAATCAATAATTCAAGGTATAATGTGCCTTAAAATTGTTCACTTTGGGTTTTTGCATGTGAGTATTTCTATACTTTATGCTATAAGCAGATCTTTCTGGGTTAAGTGTTGGGCAGTCAAGGCAGATGATATCACATTTGTCAATAATTAAAGGTATGTGTGTTTCTATCTTCAAGTGAAAAAGAAGTGTTATGTGTAACAGCAGAAAAGGAATCAGCTTCAGGAATTAAACTCTTGTCCATATGGATCAAGAGAGATCATAAAGCATTTTAAAAGGCGTTTTCCCCATGCTATTTTCATTATAAAATAAGAAAAGTCCTAAATAATGTTTTATTTTTCCAGATTATGGCAACTTTTAAAATTATGGTAAATGCATAAGACCAGAATACTAAGTAAGCCCTTCACTGACTGTGATACATATAAGTGAAAGTCAAAGCTTTTTATGAAGTTCCTTCAGAATCCTAGAATGCAGAATTGAAAAAGACATACCATATTCTTTAAATGCCAAAGAATTATTAATTACATGAAAATAAGGTTTTACTTAGTTGCACCTGGAAGAAAAAAGAAGTTGCATTTTGCGAACTTTTATTCTGATGAGAGGCAGTATAAGAACAGGATGCCTCAGGCTTCTGTGGTTTCTCATTTTTCATCTCTGCTGCACATAGCTTTGTTTTTTTTCTTGTGAGATCATAATCAAAAGGGTTGATAGAGTAGATGATTAATAAAACAAAATATTAAGGGTTTTTTCAACTGCAATGAAATTCATATTATCATCACTTTCAGTTTTCTCTTTTTCATAACAATTTGCAGTTTCGAAATGTAAGCTTTCATTATGTAGACATTCCTTAATTTTTAATTTACGAAGAAGGTCTTTCATAATCCATTAAAATTTTGGTTTGTTCGTTATAGCCCTCTTGCTTATTACACCATGATTGCTCAGGATAAAGTTAGATGATGCCTTATAATAAAACAAAGCAAAATAAAAAAATCAAACCACAACCACTTCAGTCTCTGGTAACTAGGAAAACTCGCACATCACTCTTACTGCAAACACTTTCAGCACTATTCAAGGTAGGTAAAAACGCACCAGCCTCTAAATACCTATATTTTCTGTACCTGGCTCATAAGTTGACCTGCACACAAGGCTGTTTTGCTGATGGTCAAAGACCTGCTGCAGCAGGAGAGGCTTTGATCGTGCTTTTGCTAAGTGGCAATAGTGCCTCCCGGTGGCTTCCTCTCTCATTCATTCCTGATGCCTTTAAATTTTACAGCTGTTTTTTGGCTGAAATAAATCATTTTGTTTCTTTTGTATTTTGAATGCTAAATGTGCACAAGCACGCTCCTTTTTTTGTGTACGATAAGATGTAGCCACATCCATATCTGCATGTGCAGGATGCTTTTTTCTGACTTTTTTATATGATTATTCTACTACAACTGCAGTAATTGAGACTCTGACTGAAAACCCCAGCACACTGTTTTATTCTTATTCTTCCATGGAAAGATTTTTTAGGAAGATCCTTAAGTCAAATTTAGGTCCAGAGCAATTCTTTTGCATCATCCTGAGCAATCTGATTGCTGGCAACTTCTCACCGTTTTGCAGAAATGATATAATGAGTCTGTATCCTTCAACTTAATTATATGCATTCAGTTTTTATGTTATGACTTTCCAAGAACACACAGATCCACTTGACTTGTCTGCACAAAGCCTACTGGATGCCTCAGCCCTGGGAGAGATGACTCACAGAAAGTTGCTGTGAAAAGAAAGGCTATGGAGGCAAGCTGTATGCATTCAAACAATGGTGTAAAATGAGTTGAGGTAGATATGCCTTTTTTTCCTTATATTTTATTCCACTATATGTGAATTACAAAGCCTAATTAAGTCTGTTTTACTGACTGTACAACAATTCCCCTTTTTTGAAGATGAAATGAGACTTCTTTCTTACTTTTTATAATAATACATTTTTTATGTTAATATTTTAGTTTTCTGTTGAAATGACAGTGTATTCAGTTTTGGGGTTGCTTTGTGGGGTTTGGGGTTTTTTTTCCTCACCTTAGTACTGTACTTAGGGTCTTATATGACCATGGGAAAGTAGCTGCTTGGACACTCCAGGCCCTGCAAAAGTTACAGGCAACATTTTCTTTTTAAATAGTTACCGATTTTAAGTAACCATTTTAAGCAGGGAAGTCTAAAATACATGACTGTCATGTATCCATACATTCTTGACTGCATCTTCTTTTTCTGAGTGGAATTCTGTCCAGAAAAAAAAAAAAAAAAGAATTGCAGAGGTGAGTAGAGATGTAGGTTGGTCAGCATGTCTCACGTTGGGTTTCAGAAACTGAAGAGCCCCAAATTGCTGGTGGCTTTTGCCCCTTTGACTCATGACATCAACTGGTAATTATGGATTTAGACTTACCTTTAAAGACAGGAAACAAATGTGAGGTAGTGTGAATCTGTATCAGCAGCAGTTTCAGAGGCAGATGAGAGTCACAGACATAGGAATGTAGGAATTCTGAACCGTTTGCAGTGTTTTGGCCTCACAGAGAGTGCAGATGTCAATTTGCTGAAGCTGTGGGGTAGTTCAACTGGATACAGGGTCATTCTGACCTCTATGTCAATAGGGGTGCATGCATCTATACTGTGCGATAAAGGTGTGTTAATACTGCCATGGGAGAACTATTTGTTGCGTTTTCTTTCACTGGAACTGTCCCCAGTGGCAGCTTTGCCATGGTGTTAAATACCTATTGTTCTATAATAATATTTATTTTGTGTTCTTAAATGGATTAAGGACATAAAGCTATCAGAGAGTGTCCAAAGGAGGTGTACAAAGACAGTGCAGGGCCTTGAGGGGAAGCCATACAAGCAGTGACTGAAGTCACTTGGTCTGTTCAGCCAGGAGGAGGCTGAGGGGAGACCTCGGTCTACAACTTCCTTGTGAGGACCAGTGGAGGGGCAGGTGACCAGTGATAGGACCCAGGAATGTCCTGAAGTTGTGTCAGGGAAGATTTAGGCTGGATATTAGGAAAAGGTTTTTCCCCCAGAGGGTGGTTGAGCAATGGAACAGGCTCCCAAGGGCAGTGGTCACAGCACCAAGCCTGACAGAGTTCAAGAAGTGTTTGGACAATACTCGCAGGCACATGGTGAGACTATTGGGGTGGTCCTGTGCAGGCCCAGGAGTTGGAATCAAATGATCCTTGTGGGTCTCTTCCAACTCAGGATATTCTATAATTCTCTGATATGAGTTCCTGCCTCAGGGTCTGATTTTCACCTGTGTTCTGTACTCGGCGTGCACCGTGTTTGGGCAATGGTTGTGTGAAATATGACAATTAAACCTGGTTTTTCCAAGTCCACATGGCTGAAAAAGAGGAAGAGAGAGTCAAGTTCGTCCTAAGCCAGGTAATCCAAGCAATTAGACCCCAAATTGAATCCAACAAGCCAGCCTGGATGGGGCTCTAAGCAATCTGATATAGTGGGTGGCATCCCGGCCTATGACAGAGGGGTTGGAATTAGATGATCTTTAAGGTCCCTTCTAACCCAAACCATTCAATAATTCTATGATTCTGTGAAGTTTTTATGTACTATTGAAGCAATATTTACCTCAAAAAACCCAACTTTCATGTCCACCAGTCTCTTTCTACATCTTTATTTCTGTGGTTTCCCATTGCCTCATTTGCTGTCATAGGTTTGCTCGCGTTTGTACTCCACAAGGAGATTTCCTTGCTAGTCGAGTTCCTTGTGAGAGCAGAGGCAATCCTTGTCATGCAGCAGCTTTTTGTTTGTTAGACACTTTGTCTCTCTTGCACATTCAATTCACTAGTGCCCTGCAGAAAAGAACATATTGCTTGACATAATAGCGCTGTTTAATAAGTGGTTAAATCTTTCTGTGTTCCTGATATCTTGGCTTTGAGCAAGATGGAAGGAGGATATTAAAAGCTTTCAGTTACAGATGTGCGCTGGAAGGACAATCTTGATACTGTTCTTTGGTAGCACATAAAGGTTAAGTGTAAGAAGGATGTTATGCATTTGTGATTACATAGGAAAGCATTCTATATCTGCTAATAATCTTTCTCGGGCCTACCTGTCTAACTTTTCAGTTTTGGCAAGATCTTAATTTAGAGGAAATTACTTTTTTTATTGCAGAAGTGGTCAGTACAGGTAAATTATGAGTTTCCCCCCCTTTTTACTTTAGAACATCTGAGCCTCCAAGGCAGTAATTGTCTGCAACCCTCTTCTCCTGGCTCAAAAGCTCTGTAGAATTACTGTTATCAGTTTTCTGTCCTGTGCCAGTATATTTGAACAGCAGGGATGCTGCAGCCCAGAATCCGGGGCTGATAATGGCTCTGCTGCACATTCCTGGTGTTTATGACATGTTGTCTGGAGCACAGCAGAACTATGGGAAGCATCTTGGGTTAAGAAAGATACATGCTGTTACTGAAGCAATATTCTGTTGAAGAGACTGCTGTAAGTAAGAATCTTGAGTGCTGAAAGTTTTTCTTTCTAAACAGTTCCAAATTAATTTATGACACT